AAGTACACGATGATGGAATTGTACGATTGTGTTCAATATTGTCCCAACGTGCTATCCAGACTCTACCTACAGATTTGCGCCGCCTCGGCACTCATTCGCAGTGGAGAAGTRGGTGCTCGCTGGGTCTTCAAGGACATCATCGAGGCCGTCAAGTGTGTCCAGAACCCCGTAAGGGGACTCTTCTTGAGGCACTATTTGTTGCAAGCCTTCCGGGACAAGCTGCCCGACGTGGGAATCCCCGTTGATCAGATTGGATCCCTCATCCGGGGTACGGAAGGTRCTCCACCCCCCGCTGCTCCCACCGGAGAAGACGTCATACCGCTCGAAAACGTTTCCGTACCGGCACTCCAGCTCTCTACCGCGAGCCTCGTGGATCACGCCGAACCGGGAACCGTGAAGGACTCGTACGAATTCGTTCTGGCCAATTTCATCGAAATGAACAAGCTCTGGGTCCGCATCCAGCACCTCCCGGGGGATCAGCGCACCAAGGCGGTTCGCCGACGWCGAGAAAAGGACCGCAACGAGCTGAGAATCCTGGTCGGAACCAATCTGGTCCGGCTCAGYGCTCTGGAAAGCGTCACCTCTACCATTTACGGGCAGGTCATTCTGCCGACGGTCTTGGACCAGATTGTCATTTGCGCCGATCCGCTCTCCCAGGCCTACCTCATCGATTGCATCGTTCAGGTCTTTCCCGACGAGTACCACATCGAGACGATGAAGATTCTCTTGAGGGTATGCCCAAAGCTCCGGGACAAGGTCAACATTCGAACGATCCTTATTTCGCTCATGACCCGCCTGGCCAATTATCTTGCGGACGAGGAGCTCCTGGACGAAAAGGACTCGAACATGGTCAAGAAGACCATTGCGCTGGACTCCTTTTGGACCTTTGACGAGTGCGTCCAGAACGTGTACAACGCACGCGGTCCAAAACTCAACGCCAAGGAGGTCATTCGGCTGCAAACGGCCTTGCTGGAGTTCAGCATGAAGTGCTACAAGGGWAACATCGAGCAAATCACGCTCTGCCTCAAGAATTGCGTCCTGGCGCTCCAGCAGGCCCGGGACAATGCGGCCTTTTTGATGCCACCTCCGCCCCCTCAGCCCCAGCAATACGGGCTCCCGCCRTCGCCGTCGCAGCTGCCCCCCCCACCACCGACGGCACTCGATCCGGTGGCTACGAAGGAGCTGGAAAAACTGCTGAGCATCCCCATGGAGGAACTGGCGCTCGGGGTGCTGACCCTGGACCACTACGCCGACCTGATTGCCTTTTTGCCCTGGAGCAACCGCCGCGAGGTCGCCCTGAACCTTCTGAAGGCGGCGACGGACGCMGGAACCCCGCCGCAGAGCGTGCGAGAAATCGAGCAGCTGTTCTCGGCGATCGCACCCGTTCTGCGCGGGGAGGACGAAAGCGCCCCCCCCCCGTCCACCGCCGCCGCCGGTGGCAGCGAGGTCGATCGCACCGCCGATCTCATGGCCGGGCTGGGGGTTGCCGTGGACAATTCCTACGGGTATCCCCAGCAACAGCAGCAGCAGCAGCCGATGCAGCAGCAGCAACAAATGCAGCAGCAGCAAATGCAGCCGGGCGGCTTCAGCGACGGAATCGATCCAGTCCAGTACGAGCAGGACAGTGCCCTGGTATCGAAACTGATTGGAATGCTCGACAACCCGGATACGGATGTGCTCTTCGAGATGCTTTCCGTGGCACGAAACCACATGAACGCGGGCAAGAGCATCGCCCTGCGTTCCAGCACGGCACACGCGGCCCTCGTCTTTGCCTCTCTGAGGCTGGCGAGGCGGGTCTTTGGGGAGGACCACCAGAAGAAGGAAGAAGAGGCGGAACCCGTCGAAGAAGCGAGCGAAGAGAAACCMAGCGAGGAAGCCGAGGGCGCCGAAACCGAACAAGCCGAAGCCTCYGAGCCACCCGAAGAACCCACGACCGGAGGAGAGGCGGTTYCCGAGGACGSSGAAGCCGACGGCGAAACGAAGCCCGCCATTGCCGAAACCGAAGGCGAAGCCCCCGCTGYGGTGGAAGCCTCGGCCGAGACGCCCGCAGCGCCAGAAACAGCAGACGAAACGCCTGCGGCGGTAGCAGCAACAAAGGAACCCGAAGCGCCCAAGCTCGTCAGGTGAGTAAAAAAGATGCTTGTTTCGAGTCGTAGTTTTACTGTGCGTTGGTGGYTTTCCGTTCTCCTCGTCAGGTGCGTGCTTGTTGCCCCGCTCTCACCTTGTTTCTCTTATCATTCGTCTTGTTTTCTTGACCAAACAGCTGCCGCAAGGTATTTGTTTTYGTCCAGCAGACCATTGCGTTCTTTGCCCAGAGCAACGTAGAACGAGGAATCAAGTTGTACCTGGAGGCCGCTCTGACCGCCGACAAACTCGGTGCGAGCCTGGAGGGAAGCAATGGCAGTGACGATCAGGATTCCTACGGATCGATTGCCAACGAGCTCATGACACAAGCATGCGCCCTTTACGAACAGTGCGTCATGGCGGACAYGAGACTCCAGCGTTCTTGCGTCTTGCCATTGATCACAACCCTTACGGCCTGCCGATCGCTCGGAAAGGAAGACTACGAAGGACTGATMATGAAAACCTCCAAGTATGCCGCAAAGATGGTGAGGAAAACCGAGCAGTGCGAAGCGGTCACTCTCTGTTCCCACCTGTTTTATGTCGTTGACAACGACGGGTCTACCGTGGTGTACTCGAATCCGCAGCGGTGTCTCGAGTGCCTGCAGCGAGCCCTCAAGCTGGCCAACGCCTGCACGACCGCAGATCCCTCSAATCTCGGGCTGTTTGTCGAGCTTTTGGACATTTATCTGTACTTTTTTGAAAAGAAAAACCCGTCYATCACCGGGAACTACATCACGGGGCTGGTGGCGCTCATCAAGGAACACGCCAACAGCATCCCGCAGCAGCACCAGTACGGCGGCCCGTCCCCCACTGCGGAGGCCAGGGCCCACTTTTTGGAAATCGTGCGGCACGTCAAGGCCTCGAAGCTGAAGGAAGAAACATCCGAGATGTTCCGGGGCATCGACGTGAGCGCTGTCGAAACGTGAAGGGACGGCCGGTGCTCCTCCTCTTAACTATAAAARTCACTGAAATTGTTTCTCCGTCTTTAATAGGTATTGCTAGCMATTCGAAGGCCGACTGCGCGAGAGCAGCGGTTTGCTCCGAAACCGCGTCGCAGCCGCCGCTACACGCATTCGGATGAAAGAGTTGAAGACTCGCCGAAGCTGTCGCTACACGTGCGGGTACCAAAAACACTATGGGTTCTTATTGTTATTCTAATTGATTYTGTTTGTAAGATCTTCGTACGGTACCGTCCGGCAATGGCAAACATGTCCGCACCGGTGCCACATGCATTGCGGCACCCGGTACAGAGCAGGATCGTGTGCAGGCTTTTTCGACCCATTTGCAAGCCACGGGCACCGGGTGTTGTTGCCAATTCTCGCAGCAGGTCCAGCTCCCGCAAAAGCGCCGTTTGCACGCCCGGAGAAGGACACAGCGGCAGCAGAATGGCAGTTGCAACGAAACACAATTCCTTCGCTTGCCTCGGTGGGGATTTCGGCAACCCAGCGCGCCCTCTTTCCGGGAGCGGGGTTTCGYCGTGCCGGTGTTCTTCGCCCTACAAACTCGATCCGAGGTCGATCTGGTTGCCCCCSACGGAGCCCCCGTCGACGTTGAGGATGACCCCCGTGCACCAGGCCCCGGCCCGCGAGCTCAGGTACAGGCAGGCCCCGGCCATGTCCTCCTCGGTGCCCATCCGGCCGAGGGGGATCCCCCTTGCGATTTTGTCCTCGGTGGCGCCCCAGGTCCCCAGGCCCTTGGACATGCGGGTCGAGACAAAGCCCGGGGCGAGGGCGTTGACGGTGATGCTCCTCGGCGCCAGGTCCGCGCTGAGCTTTAGGGTGAGGGAGTGGACCGCCGCCTTGGAGGCGTCGTAGGCGTGGGTCGGTGCCGCCTGGGGGACCATCCCGACGATGCTCCCCACGTTGATGACGCGGGAGGGGCTCTCGGGGGTGGCGGCCTTTTCCAGGAGGGGCAGGCAGGCACGGGTGAGATAAAAGACACCCTTGACGTTCTGGGCAGGCGGGCAGGCAGGCAGGCAAGAACGCATTCGAAGGTCGGAGAGCATTGTCGGAGCGCGTTTGGTGGGACCCGGCACGGGCAAAAGAGAACGGAGAACGGAACACCGTTGAGAGGTTCGAGAAAGAAAAAAACACGCACGCACACGCCGGCAAGGAAACAACCATCTCGTCTCGTCTCGTCTCGTCTCGTCTCGTCACGTCACGTCACGAGCTGCGAGCGAAGAACGCTCGAGTCCACATCGTTGCCGCTTCGCTTCGCTTGTTCTCTGTTCGACGCTCGGTACGCACCAAATCCAGGACCTTGTCGAATCCCCAGTTCGCCCTCCCCGAGGTTCGATCGAGGGGCTCCCCCCAGGAGGCCCCCGCGTTGTTGACCAGGACGTCCAGCCCCCTCTCGCCAAAGACCCTCGCGGCGTGGTCCGCCAGCTCCTCGCASCCCTTTCGGCTGGAGACGTTCGAGGCCACGTACATGGGGGCGGGGGCCCCGCTCCCGCTCGCGGAAATGGTCCCCGCAATGGCCTCGGAAGCCTCCATGCAGGCGTCCTCCGACCGGGAGGTCAGAAGGACGTTGGCCCCGGCGGCGGTAAAGTTCTTGGCGATCATGAGGCCGATCCCCCGGGATCCCCCCGTGACGAGGACGTTCTTTCCCGCCACGGAAAAGAGGGACCCGAGGAGGCCGGCGCCGCCGCTGCCGGACGCCGATCGAAGGGCCGTGGTGGCGGAGATCATCTCGTTGCTCCTGCCCGGAATGCCTGGAATGTTTGTTATCCTCGCTGCAATGCGCTTTTGCTGGTTTGGTGTGGTTTCGTTTCGTTTCGTTTCGTTTCGTTTGGTTTCGTTTGGTTGTCCGCGGTGTTTTGTTCGTGTTGCTGAGCAGAGCAGCACAGAGCGGTTGCTGTTTCGCTGTTCCCTTCGAGAAACGCGAGTGCGTATGATTTGATCCCTGGGGGTGGATACGAGTACTTGTTTCCCACCGCAATGATGTTCGGCTGTTTGCCATATCAATCATCTCTCTGCCGTACGGAGGTCTCAATCAGTTGTCTCGTTCGCAACATCCAAATCAACGTGCAAATCCTACTGTAACTACCAACACTCACCGTGACGCGTCGTCGGGACTCCACTGTTTCATTCGTGACCCGGGGCACGGAGTAATACATACCATACCTATTTACCTATGATTAATACGTATTCACAAAAAGGATCCGGGCACCGAGTGTCATGGATGGTGAACCGAAGCGCGCAAGAGCGGTCGCGCACGCTCGTCTGTTTAAGTGACCGTTGTACCAAAATTGTGTCAACGTGAAAGGATTTTCCGAAGCCCTTCGAGTCGCATTGAACTTTTTCCGTGAGTACGAGTACGAAGTACGAGTTTCTGGTGCTCGCACTCGTATTCTCTTGCTGCTGTATATTCGTCCCCGTAGCGTACTGGTGCTTCTACGTATTCCTCCTACCGGTACGTTGGTCCTACTGTGGACAGCAGTGAGTCGGGGGACGAATCGACTAKAGGAATCTGCGATGGAATCTCGCTCCTTCTGTGCTATGCTCGTGCAAGACCGCGTAGAATACGAGTAGGAAAAAGCTACGAGCACAGCACCGCATGGTTCGAAAGTCTTTGGGAACCAAAGAAAACACGTTCGTTGACATCGACATCAACACCAACCACCGTGTTCCCGTTCACCATAGCATCATTATCATCSCAATCGTTGACACCGCGTGACCGAAGATGACAGACCCCGAATGAGAAAGTAGTACTACGCAAATGGGACAGAAAAGAGCAACCAAGGACACTTAGCTTCGAATCATCGGAAAGGTAAAACCAGCGCGTGGGCAAAGACTGCCTCGCGATCAATCCAGCAGAACGGCACACCGCAACAGGCAGACTTGACCCGATTTCTGCTTCTTCTTCTAGGAAGCCTTGGTTCTGAATTCGTTTGACGGTCGTTGCAAGAACCTGCCTTTTGTAGTCTAGGGGATGAGCTTGCCCAACGACAACGACGACGATGACCGAAGGCCGCCCTGGAGGGGGTCTTTCGGCCCCGGAGACGGGCACACCAGCAGTGGTATCTACCCGATCAAGAAGCTAACGGTAGTTGCGGACGGCGAGGAAATGGACAACGAGAACGASRACGACAACGACGACGCTTCCGAGCGGACGGCCGCGGAAACGAGCATCGGAAGCATGTCCTTTTCCAGCGACATTACCTCCGTGGTCCACGGAGTAGGAGGATCCGGACCSTTGGTTCCTCAGGCAGCGGCCACGCCGATCTCGGCCCTCACCCTGGACACACGGAGAACCGCCGGCGAGAACGATTCCAGCAGCAGCGTTCAGAGCAGCGGGAGCAGCGTGAGTGTTTCGCGGCTCTCCAACGACGAGGTGGCCCTGCGGGAGCGACGGAGGCGCAACCTGAGGCAGCTGCAGCAGCTGGGGATCGCCACGGGCGTCTCCTTTTCCATTTTTCTGTACCTGCTTATCCCCACGGCGCTGCTCATGTCGATGATTCTCTTTGGGGGCGTCTCGGTCGCCTTTGTGACCCGGCTGGCGATTTACATGCAGTGGGAATTCCAGCGCTCCGTTCTCGAGGGACGCGGGATCGGAGAGTATTTGCCCGCGGGCGTGTACGAGGCGCTGACCTCCACGAGCCTYCATGATTTCCTCAGCGACCCGGAGGGGATCTTTGGAGTTAGCGAGCACATGCCCTACATCRTGCTCTACCTCATTCCGGGGCTGACCCTCGAGCAGCGCAACGAATACGTGAACCGGCTCTCGCCGATCCACCAGCGGCTCCTCCGGAACCAGCAGGGCCTSCTGGGCTATCTCCACAACCGGAACCGACACCGCCCCGGAAACGAGGCGGGAGACAGCAGTTTCCTGATGCGCCTCGTCATGGGAGACGAGCGTTTGCGGCAACAGCAGATGCAGAATCTTCGTCTCCCGGGGAGCAACAACAACAACAACAACGGCAACGGCAACCATCGATTGGAGTTGCCACCAACGATTCCGGAGGGAGCAAGCTGGGGAGATGCGAGCGAACTGGCGGCCGACGATGATCCGGCGAGTGCGATGCCGAACGACAACTCGGAGACGCACGCAAACGAAACCATCGACACTAACACRGACCTGGTGCCGTTTGATGCACCCGCACCCGTTCCGTCTGCTCTGCAATCCCTGACGGCGGAAATACCGGCGATCGTCTCTCCGATTGTTGGCCGGGCCGTCGTGTTGGACGAGCCTCCACCGGAAGCGACGGGCGCAAGAAGACGAATACCACCACCACCACCGCCAACCGTGGAAACGACAGGTTCGAGAGAACCAAGGGCATCCACCGCACCGGTCCCGAGYGTGGGCGGCGAAAACTCCGAGCAGAACGCTCCGATCCCCGAGGACGTTGTTTTGTTCGATGCCATCGGTGCCGCCATTAGCAACATTGTCGGAGAAGCCGCCCAAACGGTGCGGACGAGGGCCCGGGAGTCCCTCGCAAGCTCCCTCGGGGGCCCGGTCTTTCGTGCCAGCGTCGGAGCCACGGCGCTCGGCCTGGGCATCGGAGCCTTTGGTCTCTGGAGCGGAACCTACGACGCCGAGTCTCTGGCAAGGCCGGTGGCGCGGCTCCTCCGCGGCCTGGTCCGGGGAAGCCCTGTTTCGCCACGGAGCAGGGGCACGGGCACGGGCTTGTCGCTGCCGGCCGGCTCGGTGCTGGTGGGAGCGACGCTCGCGAGCGGGACCACGGCCGTGGTTCTGGGAGCCTTTGGGATCTACCGCCGCGGGAACCGCGAGGGCAAACCGCCGTCCGAGCGAAGGAACTGAACCGAACGAAACCGACGCCTCGGTGGCCACGGCGCGGGATGCCGGCGTTCCGGCATCGCAAGCGTGGRAGTGACCAAGAAAGCGTCGGGACCATTCGAGGCATGCGCCTGCGCACGATGATAACGAATAACTAGTACAGTACAGTACAGGAATTGCTTTGCGCGATTGTGGTTCTTGACTATAGAAGTACAGTACGTACCAGCTGCGAGTATGTCTTGTGAGTGTTTTCCATCGTTTTTCCGGATCGGCGAGAAGCCAAGGACGAGGAGACGAGACGTGACGTGACTGGACGATCCGAGGCATCCCGAGTACATTTTGCATCGATCCCTAGTGCCATTGCTTTCCAAATCCGTCTAGTGTTGTCTACGGCAATACTTGTACGAAGCAATACAAATTTATCCATGAGTCAAGAGCGTACCTACTGTACCGGTGCCATGAATTATTATTGACGTGCCATGTTTGGCCTTGTGGATCGCTAGCTAGCTAGCTATTTTACTGTGGTCTGTGCCAAAGGGAAACAACCGTCCGCTCGAGCCGGGGATCTTCGGTGGCRCGTCCTTCGAGAACGCCGACGCACGCCTTTTGTTCGTTCGTTTTTCCSTTCTTTCCTTCATATCGGCTCCCCCCCGAGGGGTGGCAGCCGGGACTCGGCGTACCTCGGGTCGGTCCGCTCGTCCTTCCAGACCCACGTCGCCAGGATCCACTTCTCGTCGACCGCGGGCATCCCCCGGTGGACGGTCCGGGGGTCCTCCTCTAGRCCGAGGGTGGCCGGGAAGTGGACGATCGCGCTGCCCTTTTTGGGCTCGACGGTAAAKCCCAGTTCCGAAAACTCGGTGTGCCCCCCCCKGGGGACGTCGTTCAGGTAGACAAAGATGGTCACCAGCCGGCCCGAGTTCTCAAAGCCGGCCGCGGTGACCGGGCCGTCGAAGCCGTCGGTGTGGGCTCTGAATTCCTGGCCTTTTTCGTAGCGGAGAATCTGGAGGACCTCGAGTTCTTCCTTCTTGCACCTTAGGAGGCCTTTGAGCTTCTTCAGCAGGGTGGGTGCGTCGGCCTGGGGGAGCATGGACTCGGTGCTGGTCCGGCTCGGGTCGGGGGCGGCCTCCGTGGTTTGGTTTTCGTCGCCGTCGCCGTCGCCGCCGGTGGTGAAGACGAGGCACGGGCTCATGTACGGCTTGCACTTGTCGATGATCCGGTCGCATTCCTCCGGCGTCAAAAAGCCTTCGACGGCGTAGACGTCCGGATCCCTGTGGAATTCCACGAGCCCGGGATAGTCCGTGTTGATCTTCTTGTACCTTTTGCCGTGTTCGGCYTCMGTGGTTGTTTCGCCGCTGTCCCYTGGTTTCGGTGGTTCTCCCTCCGATGGATCGTCCCGGGCGTAGGCCATGTCCGTGAAGGCCCTCAGCTCGGAAAGCTGCGCGTKGTGCTTTTCCAGCGCCATGYGGCCGCTCTKGGTGATGCGTTCCCTTTCCAGGGCCCTTCCCTCGTTGGTCGCAATGTCCCGCACCAGCTTGTCCCCCCTGGAAACATCGGCGGTCGCCACCACCATGCACAGGGGGGCCGCMCCCTCGAYGGGGATCGCCGCGCAGTTGGCCCGTTGGATGCTGCTSCGAGTGCCCGCCCCCTCCCCCGGGCCGGTCCTCTCGCACAGGTGCCCCAGCCAGCCGGGGACGAGCTCCCGGTCCGGATTGGCGTCCAAAAAGAGGGACTGCCCCCTSAGCTCGGGCTTGTCCGTCATGGCGGGAAAGTCGACGCAGTACATGGTCGTCCGGCGGCTGGATCCGAAAAAGGCGCCGTCCCTGTCCGCGTCGTAGACCAGGTAATCGGTGGTCCGCCGGTTCGGTGTTCCTTTCGTTTTGTGTTTGTTTTTCTTCTTCTTCTTCTTTTTGTTGTTTTTGTTTTTGTTTTTGGCGTTGCTCTTGTCCCCGCGGAGACCCAGCGAGTGGATCGGATACATGGTGACAATGTCTCCCCGGGCAATGTCCTCGCTGGCGATCAGCGTCGGAGGCCCCGAGGACCCGGTCTCGCCCGCTTCGTAGACGGCCTTGCACGCACCGGCCCACGGGGGGGAATAGAGCTCCGGGTTCTGCAGGTGGGAGCAAACCCCGAAGAGCGACCGGGCCGTCTTCTCGGCGGTTTCGTCGTCCGCAGGCGCAATGGCCGCGGGCTTCGGTTTCTTCTGCTTCTGCTTCTGCTTGGACCCGGTGGGTGAAGCACCGAATCCCTTTTGGGGCCCGGAAAACGCGGAGCAGGTGGGAAGCAAGCACAAACCGCCACCGGGAGCAGCGCCCGGCCACAGGGAGGCGGCGAGCGCTGCCGCGAAAAAGAGGAAGCGCTCTCCTCTGGTACCGGCAGTTGCCATCTTGGCGATGGATTGTTGGATTGGATTGGATTGGATTGGGAGTCTTTGGTTCGGTGTGGGTCGGTCGCTACTGCGGGGTGAGTGGCGAAGGGGCCGGGCGGGAGTGTCGACTCGGGTCTCTCGGGAGTTGGGAGTGTGGTGTGGTATTGTTAAAATATTCAGGGCACAGACACAGACACATCACTGTTTTCTTCCAAAAAACCCATCAGGRGGATTGTGGATTGTTCTTAGCCACCAGTTCGTGACTATGGTACGGTACGTACGTACTATAATACAGTACAGAACAGAATCCAGAATCGTCCAAACCCCGATAGTTCGTGACTGACCAGTCTGACCCGACCAACAGAAGCGCACTCGAAGGTTGTCTTCCGTGGCTGGAAAGCACGACTGACTCTTGGCACGGTTCGTTGTCGTTCGATCGCGAGGTGAGGCGGGTGTCACCGGAACGGAATCTACGGTACAGGAATCCGGAACTCCCAGCCAACACACGGTACGTACGGTACGAGTTACCGTTCGAGTAAAGTACCGTTCGTTCGGCACGTACGTAAAGTACGAGTACCTCGTAGAAGAATAGAAGCCGTGCGTGTACCTGGTACCGTACGGTAATCGAACTCGTAATTAATCGTAGCGTACGTCCGTACGTACCGGTGCGACAGCAACGTCCCGCTGTGGTCGATCGTGCGAAAAAACGGGACCGAATGGGAACAAAGTGCAAAGGATCCGTCACGGTCCTGCCCGCCCAGCACTGCCTGTCTCCAGCAGCACTGAAAGGAACCGTGGGGCAACAACACAAGACAACACAAGACAAGGCAAGACAACACAACACAGGAAAGGAAAGGAAAGGAGAGCAGCTAGTGTTGGCATTTTAAACAAATCTTTCGAAAGCACACACCGCACGCAAGCGAACGACAAAGAAACAAGGACAAAGATGGCGTCGCAGCAATCGCAATCGCAATCGCAATCGCAATCGCAACCGCAGTCGCTGCAGGAAGACATCGGAGAGATCGACGTCGAGAGCCTGCGCCGGATCTTTGGGTCCGCTTCTTTCGAAGACCTGAACAAGCGCAAGGCCCACGAGCTCCGGGAGCAATGGATGGAATCGGTGCAGCAGGAGAAGGAGCAGCAGCAGCAGGGAGGAGGCGGCCCGTGCGGCGGCTCACCGGGGGTCCCCCCTTCCGCCGCGGGCCTCCCCCGCTTCTTGCTCGACCCGAGGGACGACCGCCACGTGGCCCCGCACGCCCTGGCCCTGAAGCTCCTCCTGGGAAGGGTCCGCCGCAGGGAGGGAGACCACGGGGACGGCCTCTATCGCAGGGTGGCCACGAGCTGCGGAAACGAAAACGACAGCGAAAGCGAAAGGGACGGCCCAAAGGGCAACTCGGGGGGAAGGGACAGCGGCGGACGCGCAGGAACAATTGCAGGCACAATCGCAGGCACAATCGCAAGCGATGCCCCCGTGGGTGCCGGGCCGCGGCAACGGCGGGGAAAGCAGAGACGGCGGCGGGGAAACGGATCGCTCCGGGCAAGAGCCGATGCAGATGCAGATGCAGATGCAGATCCCGAGCCAAAGCTCCCTTCCCTCCTCGTGCTCCCCCTGGCGGCGATCGCTCTGGTTTCCCTGGCCTGCCAGTTCGTCCTSGAGGTCCTCGGGGGGGCCGGGGCCGTCTGGGGGTGTGCCGAGCTGGCGGGACTCCGCGGAASCGGGGCCCCCGATTCCGGAAGGGCGGCTTCCAGGRCGGCCTCCCTGGTGGTCGGGGCCGTCTGCCTGGCCCGCTTTGTGGTGGTCCGCCTGCTGGTGCCCCTCCGGCCGCCGCAACGGGGGGGATCCGCCGGTGCCGGGTTCTGGGAGCTGGCCCGGGCCGCGGCGGGGGATCCGGTGCTCGCTCTGCATCCCTCGCGGGGGATGCTCGCGGGCCGCCTCTGTGGGCCCCGGGGGAGGGACACCGGCGGCGACAGCGGCAACGACAGCGGCAACGGAATCGAGAACAAAATCGACCACGAAATCGAGAACAAAAGCGAGAGCCCCGCGGGGTGCCGAAAGCCCCCTTCTTCCCCTCCCGCCCTAGGGGGGGCCGGAGGACCTTCGCCACGGGGCAGCACCTGGGACGCGTCCTCGTCGTCCGACGACGACTACGAATGCTGTAGCCCGTAACGGCGACAACGGGGCGTTGCACCGCACGATGCGTTTCTGCGGTGCATCGTTTTTTTGGAAACAGCAATCTACCGGATCCGATGCCGGTCGGTCGTTGACACTACTACTGCATGGTTCGGAGCGGCAGACAAGCATGGCACTGGTAGTATTACTGCACAGTACGGTACTCTAGTCGCAACACTAGTTCTACTGCCCTTGTGATCGAGGCGGTGTTGAGCAGGACCAATGGGATTGCCAAAGAGATCAGGAAGCGCGGCACTCGCAGAAGCTTGTGCCGACAACAACAATGACTTTTCAGCCAAAGGCAACAGAAACCGATTCTTCCAATCCTTAGAATAACGACTACGGGTACGAGTACGAGTACATCAAGGGGGCATCTCACAACAATTTGAAGCTGCAGTACTTGTAGTAGTACCAACACTACTACAAATCCCATCCTCAGCGTTTCTCCATCAAAAACAGATGAGAGCAACGAGTGGGAGACAGTACAATCACAAGTAGATAGTGAATAACCTCACTCTTTATTGTAAACACGTATTCATACTTCATACGGCACTGGAGAGCAATATACCATTTCACAGGTTATACCATTTCACAACGAGTACTCGTACTACGTAGTTGTACCGTAGAAGGGTAGTAAAGTGACTAGCAACAGCTACCAGTATGTTAGTAGTGCGTAGTTGTATGTTAGGTACATACAACTGATACTAGGGCATAATTTTGGCATTCCTCGCCATGCCTGCCACCGTCGCGTTGTCCCCTACGGTACTCGTACCGGTATATGATACTAGGGCATAATTTTGGCATTCCTCGCYATGCCTGCCACCGTCGCGTTGTCCCCTACGGTATTCGTACCGGTATATGATACTAGGGCATAATTTTGGCATTCCTCGCCATGCCTGCCACCACCGTCGCGTTGTCCCCTACGGTATTCGTACCGGTATATTTTCCGGGAACAAACAGGGTTTGTGTCCTTCTTTCTTCGAGATTTCACACACACAACAAACAAAACACACAATACACAATACGCAACACAATACGCAACACACGGACAACACGATCCAATACGCCAAACGTCCTCCCGCACGGAAAGGGATCCGACCGACAACGCCACACTCTTCGGGAAGACCAGATCCACGGCATGCCGGCCGAACCCGACCGAAACACCCATGCCAACGAGAGCAGCGAGAACAACAACACCAACCACGACGACGGCAGCGGAAACGGCAGCGGCAACGGCAACGACCCACCCCCTGTCCTTCTCCGCGACATCCTGCCCCCGGAGGTCCCCACCGGCGACCAAGGTTGCGAGCGGGCGGTTTGCGTCCGCCTCTACCTGATCCGGCACGGGCAGACCGACTGGAACCGTGCCGGCCGGGTCCAGGGCGGGGGCTACGACGTTCCCCTGAACGCCACCGGGAGGCTCCAGGCCAAGCGGGCGGGGAAAGCCCTGGGGGGGATCCCCCTGGACCTGGTGGYWTCCTCGGGGCTCTCCCGGGCCTCGGAGACCGCGGACCTGGTGGCCCTGGAAGTCCAAGCCCTTGCAAAAAAAAGCGGGAGTGGCAACCACCACAACGGTTGTTCCCCGGCCCGTGTGGTCGACAAGGGCTTCAACGAGATGCGCTTCGGGGCCCTGGAGGGAATCAAGGGGACCCGTGGCCGTSCTTGCTCCCGAGGGGGGGAAGACCGGCTCTGGGAGCGGGCAAGGGCCGCAAAGGAAAAGGTCCGGCTGGACCCGGACTGCTGCTTCCCGGCCACCCTTTTCGGCGAAGACGACGCTTGCGGCGACGACGACGACGAAGCGGCGGAAAAGGACAAGTGGAGGGTCCTCGAAGGAACGAGGGAGGGAGAGTCCACGCGGATGGTCCAGGAGCGATCCCTGCGGGCCCTGTCCAGGGTCCTTTCCGCCGTCCCGGGCGGGGAAAGACTGGGGGGCACCGACACCACCAAAAATACCGAGAAGCGCGTCTACCACGTCGCCGTCGTCGGCCACGGCCGGACCAACAAGGTCCTCCTGGCGGCCATGCTGCACGGGGAGGCCCAGGGGCGCTATTCGGAAATCCAGCAGGGGAACGCATGCATCTATGTCCTCGACCTGAGGGAGGACGCCCTCCACAACCAAGGCAATGGGAACGACACGCGGGGGCTCTGGAAGCCCCTGCTGGTGAACCACACGCAGCACGTGCTCGAGCCGCAGCTTTAGGGAAGAAAAAGGGCAGGGGCCTGCCTCGTTGGACGAACCACCGGAAGCAAAGCAACACCGCACCAAGGCAATCCTTGGTGATCCGTGCCGTGCCGTAGACCGCGAACCGCAACAAAATTCGTTTCGTTTCGTGGTGATTTTTACAACGGCCGTATCTCTCGCACGGAACAAGAACGGGCTCGGCTCCACGCTGGATGCTCCTTTGGATGGATCGAGTGCCGGGATGCATTCCGCCGCGCCTCGTCGCAACGACTCGGGGACCGGCAGCCGTGCCGCAAACGCATCATGGTACCGAATACGGTGAAAAACGCTAACTACTCGTTACTACTGCACCAGATAACTCGGAACAAACAATAGTTAGTAGTGGGGAACAGACGATTCCGTCGTTCTCTTTGTGCTTTCTACCATGGTGGCATTGCGTGTCTGCCGTTTGGTTCACTCTCGATACGATTCGATTTGATTCGATTCACAGACTTTCGTTCCCTTGTCAAAGATCCTTCTCTCTGTTGTTTTCTGCAACAACGAACGTCCCGCGACATCCACGGGCCGAACGGAGGAGAGAAAAGATCTTGTCATTCGGGCGGAGTGGGCGAACCGACCGAATAGCGACACCAATCACATCGTCACAGGCAAGCACACAGCCTCCACAGCCGCGCGCTGTATGTGGTGCTCCCTTTTTTCGCTTCGTTTTACCTTGCTTGGCGTTGCCTTGCCTTGCCTTGCCTTGCCTTCCTACAACTCGCCGTCGCCACCGTTCTCCCGGACGTCCCTCACGGCGGCGACCAGGTCGTCGACCTCCAGTGCCGATCCCGTGACCTCCGGGTAGGCGTACCTGGGCTCGCCGTCGCTACCAAAGACAATGATTCCACCCGTCTTGAGGCCCTCTCCGACCAAGTTGCCCTCGAGGCCCTTGGACTTCATCCGCTTGTTCATCCCCTTCATGCCCTTGTAGATCTTGTAGGGGTTCAGGAGGGACCACCAGCTCAGGTGGTCAGTRATCTTGCCGTCGCCAAAGGCGCGGTAGAAATCGAGGTTCTCGTCCCGGTAGAGTGGAAACTTAAAGTGGTCCCCGTGAAAGACGCGGAGTCCCTCGTCGTCCTGCGCACGGAACGAAACACGGCACGGTRCAAGCGATGGACGATGTGCAATCAAAACGTAAGAACCCGGGCGCTCGGAGAAAACCAACAACAGCAGGAGCAACAGAGAAACAAATGGCCAARCAACCCCAACTCTTCGGTATTGCAAAACACGCCATTCGATCCAACAAAGGCACCAAAGCAAAAACACAGCGGAACAAGACACGAGGCACCAAAACAAGGAGCTGCGATACGCACCACTCCAGTCTCCTTGACGACCCCGAACAGATCRAATCCCTCCAGGGGGGAGGCCTCTCCTCCCTCGCCAGTYGCCGCCAACTCGGACAGTTGCTGCCCGTGTTCGCGGCACAAGACTCACCCGGGCCTGCGGACCACGAAGCAGATGCTCCCCGCCTTTCCCGAGTTGGCCGCCACGGCTTCTTTTCCGGTGACGGTCTGGTCGGCGGACTCTGTCACCAGGTCTCCGATCCCCGGAGAAAAGTCGATCGGGACCAGGCTGGCGGTGGACAGCCAGCTCGCCGAGTCCTTCATGAGAGGCGTAAGGTGCATCCGCTTGGGAACACCCACGGGCATCGCGTCGGCCATGGTGGCCGTGGAACTACCGGTGGAGAAGAGGGACAGTACCGYAGCAGCGGCAAATGCGAGGGTCGTGGGAGACGAAGGTCGAAATGCTCGTGTTGCCGAAGCCGCTCCCCTCAAGCCGTTCGCAAGAAGAAATGGCATGGACCGTCGGCGCGCAATGTGTGGCAACGATGACGTGCTGCTCTTCTGAAACGAGACCTGAACTGGGATCGCGATTTCAGATCCAGCCAAGGTGGTGACTGGCGATCTTGCTTTCGGCTAAAATTCTTCCACACTTTGTTGTGTACGTGTGTGAGACTGTGAGTSTGTTCCAAGCCTTTGCCGTCCACACCAAAAAGAACTCTTGGTGTCAGTAAAAAGAAACGAAAGATAATCGAAAGGATAGGATAGTACACGTACGTACTGGAACTCGCCAATCTACCGTAGCACCTACCGGTATCGTACGCGGATGCAATAAGCTTTTTCCGTTGTTGCGCAAAACAGGCGTCATCGGAGTGACGCCTTCCTCGTGATTGTACATGGTAACCGTACGGTACGTACCGTTCGAAGGGGTCATACTTTAGACCCCTGTGACCGTACGTATGTACAACACAGAACGTACTCGTACGAGTACTGACCCCTGGCGTCCAGTATCCAGTAACTAGATCATACCTACGATTCGCTCATATCAAGGTATGTACGAGTAGATAGTGAATAAGCTCACTCTTTATTGTACGTAAATACAGTAGGAGATAGAGTAATACGAAGTACACCTACTTTCTAATACTGAAATTCTACAGTWAGAGCTGCCGTACGTGCGGTGACCTACGCTACGGCGCATAACGCTACGACACCTTAACGTAAATCTAAGTACGGAGCGGTACTGGTGTCATGTTTTGGGATCCGTCTACGGTCGAGCGGCTACAAGTTACGAAAACCGCGGTTGATTGCGGTTCTCCGGGCACAGAATGTGTTCTTTGAATTTGGATGACGCCTTTTATTTCAACCGGTGACACTGTCACASAACTCGATTCCGAATTGCGAATTCGTGCGTTAGATTGCTTCTCGCCTCGAGATTTGATTGATCGATAAAGGGTAGACGTGCGTAGGAGGATTGTTCGTACGAAATCTTCTGGTAGAATGGAAAGTGTTTGAGGTACAATCAACAAACACAATCGGCTGCCTCACAAATCTCAGCGACAAACCTGTTGATCTTGGGTTCCAACAAATCTTCAATTGACTCTCCCAGTAGACTTGCTATACTAGAAATACGAAGTCCAAAAACAAGACTAATACCGATCCTCTCTCTCTAAAGAACACGAACCAATCTCTTTCACAGCTCAAACCAAGACAACGCAAGGACGCAATAATTGCAAAAAGAACACRAACAGCACAATGACCGCCGCGATGGACTACCGGGAACACACCATCGATGACCACACYGACCTGCCCCGCAAGGCGGCCCTCCGAAACCTAAAGGTGAAACTCCGAGACRTTCGCCAGCTCATCCAGAGCGATGCGAACATTGGCAGGGTGAACATCGACAACCACATTCAGCACGACTTTTTCCTCATGGAATACAAGCGCGCCAAGGCCATTCGATAGCTGCACAGGTCGCCATCGTCGACGAATCTACGAAGGACGCCAMTCAAGATACTGAATGACACCCATGTCACGGGATACTATACATCAGCACATTGTACCACCACGTACACGCCACCAGGAGTGCTGCTGCATTGCAATCGATGATACCTACTCGCGTTGCATCAMAACGCAAAACACGAAATCACACCATCTCGCCCAATCTATCAACACAAGATACAGAATTACATCATTAGTTACCACAACAAAACACACCTCATAAGATCAGCTCAGATGAGATCATATAAACCGTTCATTAGACTCCTAGTCCCATCGCTCAACATCCCATGATGAAACAAGAGTTCGCCTCGCAGTTACTACTATAGTCCATGTAAAAATACGAATACGATAACAAAACTTGATATTTATTGCAAATACGAGCATGACTGTTCTATTCTAGGCTTAGAAGTACGAAACAAACTACGTATCATTGTCCGTATTCATTGAAGAGTGTCCCGTTCCATACATTTTACCTGTCTTCGACCCGGCGTCCGATTGCATTGGTTGCACGAATGGTTTCTCCTTTCGATCCCTATTTTCCCGCGGCATAAAAACACCTCCCCTTGTTTATCATTGCCGGGGAGGTGAAAAGCCTCGAYTTCGTTCCACCGACGGTGCTGGCAGAGATTGCACCGAACGGTTCCCTTCCGATGTGTCAGTCCGTTGATGTGTCAGTTCGTGACCAGTTTTTTTGTCCGGTGTGTCGGTCCGTGTGGATGTGCGCTAGTATAGGTTGTGGGGAGGGGTCCCGCTGGCTTGGGGGCTTGGTGGTGCCCGAGATTCAATTCCATTCCGTTCCTTGTGTAAGTTTCCTATGGATGGTGCTGCGTTCTTCCGTTTCTTGTCRTGTCGGGCCTTGTGTAGGTTTTCACAACCGAGAAAGCATCGAGGTAGGTAGAAAGCTAAGATCGTCGAGAAGCCTGCTTGCATCGAAGAACACCAATGAGCCGTGTCGATTGTCGCTTTCTCCTGTTGAGTACTGTAGACAGATTCTCAAGGTATATTCCGATATGGATCATATAGCGAGGTCATATTCACCGTAGCCTTCTAGCGGGGTCATCTAGGTCGAGGCAATAGGATAATAGTTCCGTCCAGTGTCGTTCGTTTCGAGCCATTTCTAGGTGTCCTGGCCGTGCCATGTGGAATTGCCGGAGCGCAAAGTTGGTCGGAGYGCAGCTTCGTCCTTTCTTCGTGACTTCTCTCCTACGGAGACAACAGCATTCAATGCATAGACAACGCCTGCCATGGCAAAAAGTGCACCGATCGTGAGGGTTCGCAAACGAACAAGCTATGTGTTACTTAGAAATTKCCTACTGCTACTTAGCCTTGCTCGTTCATAGAGACTTTMAAAACAATCATTCATCGATTCATTCATCATGTGGTAGCTGATCCGTAACAGATCTCCTTTTCCCGTCCGGAGGAGTGCATCCCATTTCGGTTGCCGGCTGCARTACCATTGTGTTGTGTTGTGATCTTTTTGTTTCGAACTCATCGTACCKAACCGTATGRTGTTTCCGAAGACAACTCCCTGACACTGCTAACGTGCCGCAGAACACCTCTATCACGTCCYGGTGTTCGTGTTCTCCGAAAAAAATGGTGTCACGATTGCGACCAACGGGTACCGTGGTTCCGAATGCGATCGACACKATCGAGAATATTCAGCTTTGACGGATTATGATTCGMGAATGATTGGTTTGCATACGGTACACACCTCGCACTATCCGACAACAAGAAATAATTGAAATACGATTCCTTCCTAGTAATGGTTTTGAAGTTTTTGATTGATAGAACAAGTGGCAGCARGGTTCCACAACCAATTTTTCCAATTAAGGTGCGGGAAAACATCTGGATGGACAGGTACGGTAGGAGACGCTGGCGCGCCACTCTGATTTAATATCSCGGGCTTCGAGTTCGTAATCGCAAGTATGGTACGGTACGTACGGTTTTTGTTTCTTAAAATTAAAATTTTKAAGGTGATGGGAAAGTATTCTCGTGATCACAAATGCGAGACGGATAGTGCAACTACAGTGAAATGCTCCATCGATCCACTTAGTTCTTACTGCAGGGAATTATCGTGCCGTGACTAGAGGGAAAAGTAGAGCACTGCGGATGTATTCTGTTRTTGGTACGAGTTGCACTGGTTGCGGCACTCCTACAATAAAGTAGTAATATGAGTAATATGTATTAACAACCTCCCTGTTCATTGGAAACTACGCATTGCTGTTTCCTGAGGAGCCTATTCGAATTTCACAGGCTATGAGCAACAWCAGACYTGCAATTTCATCACCTCACCAGTAAACAAAGTCTATTCAACGAACAGCTTGATTTWCTAATCTTCCTGTACTYGCGGCGAAGACCCCAAAATCATCTGGAAAACCAGGCGAAACTGAGAATCGTTCGTTTTGTTAGACTKCCATATAGTTAKAGCATGCCGGTGATGTCATCTCTTTGCTGTTTCCACCCGGACCGACCGGCCATGCAAGGTACGCTGGGCCGTGGTGCTGTTCCATAATTGGTACAACCCCGGAGACGAAACCACCCGAGTCCGTTGCCCGTTCCGACAGCCCGCGGCACGGTCGTGCCCCCGGCGGCAGCACTACCGGGGGGGCAGCCGGAAGCCCCCGTCGATCCGCACGACCTCGGCGTTGATCATCGGGTTCTCGACGATGGACTGGACCAGGGCCGCAAACTCGTCCGGTTCGCCCAGCCGCGGCGGAAAGGGGACCGCTTCGCCCAGCTCGTCCCGGACCCGCTGGGGGAGGCCCTCCAGGAGCGGGGTCCGRAAGAGCCCCGGGGCGATCGCGTTGACGCGGATCCCGTGCGGGGCCAGGTCCCTCGCGAGGGGGAGRGTCATCCCGGCGACGGCCGCCTTGGACGCCGCRTAGGCGRCTTGGCCCATCTGGCCCTCGTAGGCGGCGATGGAGGACGTGTTGACCACGACGCCCCTCTCCCTCGGTACGGTGGAGCACGGGGAATCTCCCTTTGCGCCGTCTTTCGGCTCCGGAGCCAGCAGCATGCGCTCGACGGCCAGCCGTACCACATTGAAGGTCCCGGCCACGTTGGCATCGAGGACCTCCCGAAATTCCCCAAGGCCGTGGAGGCTCCAGGCCCCTTCCCCGTCGGATCCGGCCGGGGTGACGGTCTTTCGGGCCCGGGCGATCCCGGCGCAGTTTATCACGGTGTCGACGTGGCTTCCAAAGGCCTCCTCCGCGGCGTCCAGGGCCGCCCCGACCTGCTCCGGGACCCTTGCGTCCCCCGCAACAAAGAGCGCCCGGTCCCCCCCGTGCTCGTCGCAKAGCCTGGCGACGAGAGAGCGCCCGGGGCTTTCCGAACGCGGCAGGTCRAGGAGGACCACCCTGGCACCCTCCCGAACGAAGCGTTCCGCCGTTGCTCGGCCCAGGCCGGAAGCACCGCCGGTCACAAGGGCGATCCGGGAGGCCATGGAGGACATTGTGCTGCGAGCGAAGGAAGTCCGGCAATCCGTGGTGCGTAGCCGAGTTTTTYTTTCGGTTTGGTCGTTTGATCTCTTGCTTCGTTTTCGGGTTTTGGAAATCCAAATTCTGTCGACGAGAAAAGCCATAAAAAAAACGATGTCACGATTGATGATTCCAGATTTTCAAAACCCCGAAGAATAAACACGTAATTATACCGTACAACACTGAAGAGTACGGACATTTCACAGTCCTTGGCGCTAGCACTCGTACCAGTCCTAATACTCTTCGGAGGTATGTAAGGTATGGTGACTTACAGTATCTACTTCTAATTTTTAATTTTCCTCTCTCTCTTGCATTTTTGCGAACTAAGCCTCACACAGGGATCATAATTGACCCCTCGCCTCACACTGGTACGTACTAGTACTATACTCGTACCGGTACTGGCTCCGGACCTGTCTCTCCACCTCATTAGGGTTCGTATCTCGTACGATTTACGACTACTGGTACTGTACAAATACCGGTACGTTCCTACCGTATCGGCCTATACTACTCTCTTGGATTTCTTTGCGTGTACGTACGACACGTGGAGACTCGCTTCACTTGAATCAAGGTAGTTAAGAAACATACTTATATGCTAGTATATTAGTGTAGAGTTTGAGTGCTCTGTTGAATAGCTCAAACAGTCAGTCTTAGGACTTTGGTGTAATCCAAAAGGCTGCATCAGGGGGGGTTTATCCCCTCCCCAGGGACATAGGCTTAGGTCTTATAATTGCCCAAGTCTATGGCTTGCACTAAAAACTGAGTCAGCCTTCTTCAGCATAACCCTAGAGGCCTTGATGTGGAGATTAACTCACTCATCAGCTGGTTTGGAATCATGGGGTTATACAAGAAGGCTGTGACTCAGTCAAAGGCTTAAATTGGATGATATGGCTCTGGCATTGACTCATCCGATTCAGCACTAGTCCCCCCCCGTAGTATTTTAATATACCGCATGCTTTCTTTTGTCGTGTGAAAACATGCTTGTCCTCAATAGAACAGCCTGTATTCTGTGTGTGGTTAATGGGCTTTTGATAGGAGTCTTAAAGCTTCATTTGAAACCGCTTTAAGCAGTCGTTTAGTAGATCTTGTTGAGCATAATGATGTCAAAGATGCTCACTGGGATCCTGTCCTTTTGCCGCTTCTTTTCTGCTCCATCTATTGGCTATGTCGATGTCATTCCCACTGACTCGAGCCCATGTAGCCTGTGAGGTTGCTGTTCTTCTCATAGATCTGAAGATCTGGATGTGGTTCCTAATGTCTTCAGGGGTGGTTATTGCAGCTGGAAACAGGTCTGGGAAATCGTGGAAGACTGCCTCCGTTGCTTCCCAAAGATACTCATTCATGTCTGCATGGGAGAGTATGAATCCTTTAGAATCACAGAAAGCAGGGCCTACAGTTTGGTTTGCTCGTCTATGAACTTCCAGGAGCTTATCTCTCCAGTGCTTTATGTTAATGCCCGATCCCATGATTTCAACGGACCTCATTAAGTATGTATGATGCGAGCAACCTCCTTTTAACTTGCCATAAATAGAGAGCCAGACTAGCCCCTGCTTTATCGCTTGATATTTACGTAGTAGGCTGATATCCATGAGAAAAGCCTCGTTTCCCCGCAACGACAGAACATAGCCAAAAGCTAAGTATGCCCCAGCGATAGTCCAGCCATCGCGGGTTTCATTGTGATCAGTAGAATTTGCTTTAAGTGCACAGCGTTCTAAGATAAGCTTCCAGACTTCCATACTGACCGCCAAATTAGGTCGCTTATCTATGCCCATTCGAGCTTTACAGCCTGTTAAAAACCGATTCTGCCAATAGGATGTTGCTCCTCCAGTATGGAGTCGACTGGCGAGTCCTTTGTTATCAGAGACAAATGAAGCGCCTTTGAATAGCCTGTCGGTGCTTACTCTTTCAAAATTTCCCACAGCTGTCTTCACTCTTCTAATGGACTCCCATTGCTTGTGATCCTTAGAATATTTCCCCGACTTAAGCGAATCATCTAACACCGCTACGGCAGTTTCGAAACCGAAAGAGTCGTGAGCTGGGGAAGGTCCGGGGTCATAAAAGGGGCCCATTAATCCAAATTTTCTTAGTGATTTTACAGTTCTTTCAACTGTGGATCTTGTCGCCCGTACAGTGCTGGTAGCTCCTCTACTCCAGAAAGCATCTAAATTGGCCCTTCGTATGTATTTAAGCAGGAGTTCGTCAGAGCAGCTATTGCTGTTGGGATCTCTTCCTTTCATCCTCCTAAAGGCACAGAGGTCACAGTGGAAGGGGGTTAGGATGTGATCTCCAGGCCTTGCATAGTTAAATTCATTAGGACCCGGCTTCTTTTGTCTCCACTTCCTATTTGTGGATGCTTGGGGATGAGTATCGTCGACTGGGTAGTTCCTATAAAACATCGTATCGTTATTCAAAGAATAACAGTTTCCGCACCAGCTTCCCTGGCATCTTGGGAAGCCTCCTACTGACCATGTAAAATTCATGCAGAAGAGAGACTGCGACCAGCTGGTTTGTTTTCCACAGTTTAGACAGTTGCCTACGTAATTGGAACATCTTTGGCGTTCCCCTGAGGGTCCACGGGTTACATGTTAAGTAAGGGAAGCAAAAGCCCATAATGCAGGGTTCGAACATGTTAGAATTCCAGTAAGAGCATATGGGGGGAATATCGATTACGAGGTCACAACACTTAAATAGTTGTTTCAACCAGGATGGGGTCATTAGCCTCGGGCACAAGATGATATGTGTTGATTCATGCCGTTTAAGTCGTGCTTTCCTTAGCTCTTCCAAAGCCACATCGCACGCTGCAGGTGGGGGATCCCATACATAAGTTCCTTTCTTTATTATTGGTCTCCATAGTTTGTCATTCCCCAGTTTTCCTCCCACGATATCATGACCTCGTTGGAACCAGTCTATTGGATTAAGGAAGATTATTTCTTCCTCGGGGGATACTATATCGTGTATAAGTCCCTTGAGTTTTGGCTCCCGGTTCAAGCTTGAAAGATGGAATGGAATAAAGGATCGATAAGGGGCTCCTCCCATGACTCCTTCATTTAAAGCTCCCCTAGACAGTCCATCACCCCCTTGCTTGATCATACGGAAACCAGACACGTGGGTTATTATGGCCTCAAACCCGTAAGCCATTTGTAGACTATGAAACTCTATTACCATTTCCAAAAGTTTAGGGCTGTTGCTCGTTCCTTTATATAACGCAGCATCAACTGTTTTGTTATCAGTGGCAAAGATTACAAAAGCCTCAGTTAATCGTCCAGCTAATCCCTCTCTCTGAATGGAATCCAATACGTTTCTGAACTCTCTGTAGTTAGATGATTCAGTAGATACATCAGAGGACCAAGTACCATGATGATAGGCGATTCCTTCGGCAGTTAACCAGTTGTCCCCGAAACCATGGCCCGAGGCATCTCCGAAGCCATAGTTTACTTGGTATATCTTTTTCACTCTCATAAACACCTTGGTCGGTGTTGATTTGCTAAAGAATTTCCAGAGGGCTTTGAGATCTGGGAACAGCCTTGGGGATGGTTTCACCGTTGCGGGATGACCTTTAATGTGTGCCTCGATAAGCGAATTTCTTACCGCATCGTCGGAGATTGCGGCTAGTTTTTCCGTCCATTCTTTTGCTTTTAGTTTCCATCCCTCTGAGTCTTGGTTTGGTCTCCAGGAATCAATTGTTTGGTGTAGGCCTTTGAGGTGGGCATTCATTACCTTGTAAGTCATCGCTACATGGACCAGGAATCCCCTGTCCTTCTCCAATTGCTTGTAGTTCAAGTCCTGTGTTGGTGAGGTAGTTAGTTCTTCCTCTATGCGTTGAATGATAGGAAGGATCCGATCCCATTTGCTCTGAGTGATAGCTTTGAATATAGTATCGTCGCAAGCTTCTGTAATTCCTCCTGTCCAGGCTCCTGTGTTGTGCTTGGATGGCGGTCTAAGCTTTCGAGGTGCATGCTGGATTCCTAGGAACTGTAAATATTTTGCAAGCCTCTGTGAGGCTTCCCATACTCTCTCCGATGAGGGTCCGGATACTCTAACGTCATCCACAAACGTGACGATTGCAGCTGGTATGCAGTTTAGTGTTGCATCCCATTTCATAACCCATGGGAGTTGTGGATCAAATGTTTCGCTTCCAGGAAGATTTAAGATTATCTCGTCATATCGGAAAGGATTGCCCTTGTCTAATCTGTTTCCTATGACAAATTCTTCAGCATGATAGTAGAATTTTATTGCAAAGAACGGACTGGGTCTAAACCCCATGAGTAGCCTCGTCCAGGCCACTTCAGTGCCGACGAGATCTCGTTGTTGTGGTTTTGGTAGTTTATTGGCTATTTGGCTTAGGGAAACACAGAGAAAAGGTCTTATCTTTTCCGGCACAGGGAAGTTTAGGAACATTTCACCTAGGTCCAGGTCCATCACCCAGTATCCATATGACATGTGTCGTATAGCTGTATTGGGTGTTGGCAACCAGAAATTTGGTGCCCACACAGCCTCGTTTAGTCCGCAACTAGTGCCATTATAAACGATACGAATGTCCAGTATTTCTCCATTTGCTCCGATCCCTTTTGGGACTCCAAAGAAATCAATGTAACTGGTGTTCTTGTGTATAGGAGCTATGTAGGTCTTTCGAATGACATCGCTGACTTTTACGCTTATTTGCGCTGTCATTTCGTCAGTGGTTTTTCTGTGTCTGACGCGATACTTTGGGAGCTTGTGTTCATGTATGAACAAATCAAACCCATCCCTAGCCGCTCTTATTGTCTCTGGAGTAGGCCATCTCCAGAACAACAGTGTGGATCCGTTGTCCCATTTCCACCATGTTGATTTAGTGTACTGTAAGCAAGCTTTGTATCCACGGATTAAGTTACGAGTGAATTCGTATGTTGCTTCGTAGCTGTTAGTATTGAAGCTACGCGTGGTTAGCTGTCCACCGTGTTGTGAGTGTAGCGTAAGAGTGGTTAGATCATCCGGCGTGTTAATCGTGGGTTGTTGTATACTTGGACACGGACTAGCCGTTGGAGAGTTATCTATTATAAACGGATCCTTGGAATGTATATTACCCTCTCTAGTTAAGCTGGTGACGTTGGACAAACCCGGTTTTGCAAATGACGCATGATTAATTAGGAGATTCCGCGTGGGCTCGACTCCAAAATTTGAGGTTTTGGGCGGAGACCTGACCTGAGTGACTTTCCCCCCCCCGCTGCTGCGTAGCTGCCCGTACAAAATGTACGAGAACTTTCCTCATTTCTTCGAAGAACCACGGAAAAGCGTGCTTGTTATTAACTATAGTTAACCAATCTAAACACAGCTACTCATGGCGTTTGAGCATGTAGAGGAAGAAGGAAAGGATGACATTATAGCAGGCTCGCTGATGAAGCTGGCGTCGTAAACAAGGTAACGTGTGTGTAGGACGCTGAAGGGCCAGTCCCACTCGCCTGTCCCAAAGGTGTTCCGGAATGGCCGCAGCGTCCACTTTGACTGCCTTTCCCGTGATTAATGTAGAGTCGATCCATCGAGATGGGAGCCATACCCTGAGAGTCTCTATGAAATGGCCTCGTGGATCATTTGGTGGCAGTTTGATGGGTGATCGTCCGTGTTATCAATGATCGCGTCTGATAACACTAATCCGGCTTTTAAGGGAAGAAAGTCACTCGTGATATCGTAATTCGGTCGCTCTGGGATAGCCCACAATGGGAGATCCCATGCAAGACAGATTTCAGTAGGGGTTAGCCGACGATACCCAACTCCTGTAGAACAGAATCGATTGGGCAGAGCAACATCTATAGTTCGGTTGCCAATTGGGAGCCATTCGTCTGTTTTGATGTACAAACTGGGCTTGTTGGACCCGGATACATAGGTTTTGTGATCTATGATTGATCCGACTGTTCTCTGAACTGTTGGTTGTAACGTAGGGGATCCTGAGCTTCCAAGGGAGAACTTTGATAGAGCAGTAGTTACACCGCCAACTTCCCTATGAGCGATAAGGATCGTGGAAACATTCGGCTCGAGTCTGGGTGGTCGTCTAATCTTAGTAAGTACTGCAAATATGCTTGGACATCGGTATTTTGCTTGATTCCACTCCTTCAGATCTCTTTCACCTCCGGCTGCGAAATCAGTATCCACCGTGAATGATTCCAGCGTGGATTTAGGATGGAAAACTAATTTGCTTCCCCATGTTGATTTTATCTGTGCTTTGAACAGCTGAGGCAATGGACAAGCAATAATTATTGAATACCATTGTTGTTGTCTGAGAGTAAGGAGCCACACAAAACCTTTTGAGCCTCTGACTACGGCACTTCCGTTTATCGTGTGGATTCGAAGACCTCCGTCTACTTGACCGAATTCAAACTGTAATGTTGCCGCACTATTATCTGCCGATCTTTCTTTCGGCTCTTGTCTAGGGACTGCGGGACTAATGAGGCTTTGGGATAGAGGCAATAACTGTGTATCTACAAAGGTTAGTTGCTTATCCCGCCACCGTCATTTTGAAGCAAATTGCCCCGCAGCCCATTCCTTAAGCTTTTTCGTGTGCTCGGTAAGCTTGTTGTTATAAGTAGTTGCTGCCTTGTTAGCACTATCGAAGGCAGACTTGACTGATTTAAACTCTTTGTCCCAGTTCCTTTTCGACGAGTTTAACGATTCTTTGACTTCCTTAATATCCGCTTGGAAGGTTGAGACCTCAGCTGAGTTGGTATTATGCACTAAGAACCTGATATACTCCCCTGCAATGGATTCATGATCGCCAAAGTCTGCATCTACAAAGGTCTTGAGTACATCCAAAGTCTTTGGTACGTAGAACCAGATATTAGCCGCTATATCCACTTTCGAGGTGTCCTCCCCACATACATTGAAGCCATCAGCTACACCGGATCTCACAACAAATAGTTCTCTGAATACCCTTTCTCCCAGTTTAGTTGTGAGGATCCAAGCTTTATCTTTTGACATTCCGTAAGTTACTAAGTTGTTATGTGAATTATCCAGCCAAGTACAGAATTTTTCCATTGCTGCACAGGATTCTGATATCGATAACTTGCAGATAGTGTGTACTTTGCTTCCCGGTCTGAGGAAGTTATCCGCATGAATGTTTAGCTGCGATCTAACCAAAGTGATTCCTGCTGGTATTTGCTTCTTTCCTTTATCTACCCAGTCCTTGTGAGTCTTGAACTTTCCGAATGATGAGATATATGGTGAGCTCTGTTGGTCTCCTGAGTCATCGAATAGTTCAGGGATTGGGCTGTTAAATCCATGCATGACTATAGCTTCACGGTTTGTGCCTATTCCAAGCTTCTTAATATGATGAAGTCTATCGAAGAACTTAGAGTGTCCTTTGTTGTCCTTCATTACATGATAACATACTGCATATGGATCAATGATCAAGCCAAAGTTTCGAGCTTCGGGATGTTCAGCTACAAAGGCAATTTGGTTATCAAGGTCTTTAGCCTGTCCACTTCATCCTTTAGATCTCTGTGTTCTTTAAGTGTGGGTCCTGACGAGATGTTGTTGTTTGGTTGGTGCATGAACGACGAGTGTACTCCTTGGAATTGGTTGAAGAACTGTCCTGGCGGACTGCCTTTTGACTCTAAGGAATGTAATTTTGTCCACACCGCTGCCTTGTTCTCATGATAAGACTGAAACCAGCCGGTCAAGTGAGTTACAAACTTGTTGAACTTGTTAACATCCGCGAATCGTTCGCTTAGAACTGATGTACACTGTTGGCTCACTCTTCTTATCACTGTTTCCTCATTAGATGTCACCTCCAGTAGAGCTTGTCCTATAGATCCTATTGTGGACCAGAGATCAGCCCCGTCAAATTCAGTTGGGACCAGTCTTGGATCACGTACTCCTATAATAGTATCGATTGCATTGATTTGCGTGGTGTGATATTTGCTTGTGGCTGCATTATCTTGGAGGACATCTTTCAAAGCTTGCCAGCGCTCTTCATTTGCTAAGCCATCTTCCAAGAGATAAGCTTCGATTCGTTTGAGTTGTTCCTCAAGGGTTTCTTTCGATATGCCTCCACCGTTCTTTTCTAACTTTACGAATGGGCAAAACTGTATTTCCTCATCTTCACTTGCTTCGTAAGCGGGGAAAAGCTTCGCTTTGGGCCTTCCAGGAGTCTTAAGGGCCATTTTTGCTTGGTCTTGTGTTCTCATCTGTTTGTTGAAATCCTCTAGGCTGATTGGCTTATTTGGATCATGAAATAAGTATTGGACAATGTCAAAGCACTTGTTCCAGTCCAGTTTCGTCTTCTTTGTCTCCAACCAGGCACTTAAGAGGGATTCATCAACACGTGTTGCATTTAAGGTGGGAACCCCGAATACGGTTTCTTTGTGACGAGAAAGAACAGCGATAGTTGGCCCGGCGAGGTTTATGTGACCATCTCCTCTGTGGCTGCAGTGACAACTGTTTTTGGGCTTAATGCAAGCTGATTCGTTGTTCTTCAGGAAGCCCCGGCATAGCACTTCCGGCCTTTCAATAACTATAATAGAATAAACAGGATACGAACTCCCCCCCGTCGCCGGAAGGGAAAGAGACTCACCATCATAAAAAGAGGGGCCTCCGCCTGTGGTGCCAGTGTCAAGCACGATTGAAGGGACATCCCGTGGAGCAGATGCGGCAATGAGGTCGTCGAGTGGGCAACTCATAAGAAAAAGTTCAGTAGTGTAGTCTCTCCAGTTTGGTCTCTTAGCTACTGACACCAAAGCTGCAGTCTACAAAACAATGAGGGTCTGTGTGGCTTTGTTCTGGTGTCAGGAGGCGTTCTGTTGGTCTTTCCTATTACCAGTTACTGACACCTTCATTGTCTTCCATTATTATTGCCTTGAGCAAGCAGCACTGCTGCTGGGGGAGTATCCTTTCTTTATTGGTGGCCCTCGTGCTCCTCCAGTCTGTCCTTCATGTGGTGTGAATCCAGTTGAGTTTTGTTACACGTGGAGGTTCTCCTAACGTGGGACCCACCTTACCATACGGTACATATTGCTTACAGTACTTTTGAACCAATTCCATAGCACGGGTTTAGTTTCGAATTAA